GGAGAGGAAGAGAGAGAGGGGAGAGGAAGAGAGAGAGGGGAAAGGAAGAGAGAGAGGGGAATCCAGCCCTTGTCAACTTATTTTTTAATCTTCAGCTCTCTACTTGTCCCTTATTGCCTCCACCCAATAACTCATTAAATTGCCCAGGAAATTAGCAATAATTTCAGAAACAAGATACACTTTGTGATGAGATCTCCACTGGCCAGAGATCTTCCCACTTAAAAACAGAACTGCAACCTCCTATCAGTTACAGCCAAGGAAGGTACTATGTTAGCCTCCATTTGGATTGCTGTTGCCATGGTACTGCACATGTGATCAGCTATGACACCAGCCAGTTGAGGCATGAAATTTCTACAGAGCTAAAATACACACACTGGCAACCTTGACAGCTGGCATGCCTTAACCCCTTCATGACTGAGGCCTTTTTTTCATTTTTTGCACCCATGTTATATTCCACATTTTAGGCCTGAAAATGACTTAAAAACCCCCACACATTATATATTTTCTGAATGCCAAGACCCTATAGAATAAAATGGTGGTAGTTGCAAACCCAACATGTGTAGCGCGTTCGTCGTTTTCATATGTAGGCGCACCCGACGCGTGTTTACGTGGCGATGCGCGTGCTCACGGGGGCGGGGGACATTCAAAAAAATTTTTTATTATTAGATTACTCTTTTAAGGTGATGCTGGGAGTCCAAATGCAGATCGCACTTCAATAGCTTATAGCTGGGCTGCAGGAGCCCAGAACTGACAGCCCAGGGACCGGAAGTGATGCAATCTGCATCGCTCCCGGTCCCATAGAACGGGGAGGGGATCGATGAATGGAAGTTCATCGACCACCTCCCCAGCTCCCCGCGGACACCAAGGACGCCGATCCCGGGCCCGTAGGAGGGGTAACGGAGCCCGGGAAGCACGGCGGGGGGGGCGGCCCCTTCTTCGGGACACAGAAGCGATCTGGCGACAGGTAAGTCGCCAGAATCGCTTCTGTTGTAAAGCCGACAGTCAGCTTTACAAGTTTAAACAGCCCTGATGCTGGCAACGTACACTGTACGTCGTCAGTCACAAAGGGGTTAAAAGTAACTGTTTTGGGAGGCATTAAATTCATGGGTAAAATTCCTATTTAACATATCACATCTACCACCAAACTTTTTCTATGATGCCCAACTAACCAGCTGCCCCCTGGACCGTGTCTCCTTGTAACTACTTTGATCAACCTCTTGCTCCATTCTACACTCTCACATCATCTTCCTCTCTACTGGCATCTTACCCTCCCCTCTAAAATATGCTCTGATGACCCCCACCTGTCTGAACAACAGAATACCCAACTCCTTGTTCCCCTTTTTCTCCAAACATTTAAAATGACCAGCTTACAGCAGTTTGAGCTTTTACCTCTCCGATAGCAACCTTCTCGACCCCTTACAGACTGACTTTCTGCCACAACACTCAACAGAAACTGCCCTACTAAAACTCAACAACAACTTACGAACTGCTAAAACCAATAGCTACTTCATACTCCTAATATCAGAGTTTTCTGCCACGTTTCATACAGTTGATCACCGGCTCACCCTAAAAAAAACTCCACTTCCATGGAGACTACAAGACTCAGGTTTTTCCTAGTTCTCCTCCTACCTGCTAAGCGCTTCTCCAGTGTCATCTACAACTCTCATCTCTTCCTCTCCTCTAGGGGTCCCCCAAGACTCTGCTCTCGGACCACTTCTATTCTAGATCTACACCTCCTTCCTTGGTCAGTTGATAACATCCCACGGCTTCCAATATCATCTCTATGCTGATTAGACAAAATCGATGTAATTGTTCCTCACATTACCCATCAAAAATGTGCCAACTGACATATTCATACAGATGTCACACCACTTCCTAACACTCAATCTTTTAAAAACTGATCTTATATAGCCTCCCCCCCACACCACCGAATTTTCGATTGAGATCAACAATACAGCCATTAGTACCTCCCCTAATATCATGGTGCTTATCCTGGACTCGGACCTGTGCTTGTAGCCTTACATCTAAATCTCTGTCCAAAACTTGCTACCTTTTTCTCATCTTTGTACCATTTTTGAAAAAAATACCTTAGGCCTTTTGGCTGAGACCAGGGGTAATTTTTATTACCCGGCTACAAGGCCTAGCCATTGTATTCACTTTGGCACTCTAAATAATTTTTCTCACTGTTTGTGCACCTTTACAGTTCAGGGATTCCAGAGTTCAGGGATGGGCCCAGTCTCTTGAGGAGACGGACCCTTTAGATCGCACCCTTTTGTGCATTTTTTGTGTGTGTTCACATGCACTCTTTTGGTTCACTTTTTGGGTGTTTCATAGCACGCTCCACAGGCTTTAAAAAAATACATAATACCTTTTTAACACCCCTGAGCTGCTAATTAACGCCCATGTTATCTCACCTCAACTGTAACAACTCCCTTCCGTTTGGCCTATTTCTACACAGGGTATACCTCCTACAGTCTATCATGAACGCTGCTGGCAATCTCATCCACCTTACCAACTGTTCAATGTCCACCCCTCTCTGCCTATCTGTCCACTGGCTTCCACTCACCCAGTAAATAAAATCTAATATATTAACATACAATCCATCCACAATGCCGCAAAACAAATGCGCTTTTTGTCTTTACTGCTAATCCACTTTTACAAAAAAACAAAAAATTTCAGAACCTTTGTTAAATTTTTACTTGTCTGTTTGTGTTCATCTTTTGATGTCAATAGAGTAGAGTAGCTACCCATTATCAGACTGATGTCCTTGAAGTCTCACTAAAAAAAAAAAAAATTTACTTTTTTTAAAATCAATATATAGCACTTGGTCCCATTTGAGTCGGTGGCTCCATTGTGGAATCTCCATTGTGGAATCTCCATTGTGGTATAAAAGCACGTCTTAATTGCTGGCTGTAGCTCCACTCTAGTCTGAAGCCTAAAATATTGGCATTTCTGTGGGGAAGAGGTATAGTTAGGCATTAACAATTCAGCACTACAGGGCTATGTGATAGAGCTGCTGGCTGCTAGTAAACACACAGGGCAACGGGAGCTCTAGCACGCAGCCTCAACAGCACTGACTGTTCATTCATAAAAGATCACTCACGGCTGCAGGGCTGCGATCTATCTGCAGGGCTGTGTTCTTACAAGCAGCCCCCCGGCAGATCTATTACATAGCGCTACAGCGCTGAGTGAGCTTTAATGGATGAACAATCAGCACTGTTGGGGACAGTACAGTGTATGACATAGCCCTGCAGAGCTAAGTGACCTTTTATAAATAAATGATCAACACTATCTGAGCTATGTGATCTATCAGCCAGGGCTGCTTGCAAGTACACAGCCCTGGAAGACTGATCATAGCCCGCACACCAAGTAATCACTTAGGAATGGCAGCATTGATCTCCAGAGCAGCCCCTGCTGCCAAAGTATAGCGCAGTCATTTACAATGTCCTGTCCTTGCTAGAACTACAGTCAAAACAGATGTGGTTAAACAGTCCCACCATGCTGCTCAACAATTACAGGACAGATCCGAACGGGAGCAAGTGCTATATGCACTAGGTCTGCTAGCGGATGAAATACAATTTTGAAAAATTGAATAATTCTTCTTTGGTCTAATTTTTTAGGTCCAGAAGATCACCAAGATGGTATGCTTCTTCTAATGCAGTTGTGGCTAAAAGAGCATGCTGGGAGTTGCATATCTGCTGGAGGTCCACTGTGATCTGTTCACAAGTTGACAAAGTACTTCAGTCTCCTTTTTGATTTCAATGCACCCACCACAACTGTTTCCGTACGGCTTGACCTTTCAGGGTTTCCACGTTGAAATTATTAGTCCTTGCAGGCATGATGAAAAATGCCACTATGGTTATGTCGCTCTGATTCACCTAAAGTGGAGAAGCAAAAAACACTTGTTAGTACACTTGATTCAATTTCCAAAAATTGCTCTCCACCACCAGTTTTCTCATTACCCTTAGAAGATAGTTGAGTCTTGACAAGGCCTCCAGAAAAACATCAGCTCCTTTGTTAGAGAACTCGTAGCGTCCAGCAATGAAGAAAAACAGGGTCTTGTCCAAATTAAAATCTAGGTGTCTGTCATAAAAAAACGAAAACCGTCATAAACATTTATACAATATGCTAATGCAGAAAATTGACTGTAGCCCTGCCACATAGAACCAAACAAGTGATTTTTCTGTTTCTATGTCAAGAAAAGACTTAAGTGACACTAAGCTCAGGAGTAAAATCTTAAAAATGCATTTAAGTACTTTAAGAATTAACAAAAATGCAGTTTGTGTATCACTCAGCCGTAGATCCTCAAATCATCTCTAAATTTGTGCCGACTCTGTCCTTCCTTTGGATAAATGAGAACATTCACAGACAACCCTGTCAAGGTCATAAAAATCTAAATCTATGCATATGAATAAGATTATTAATAGATATTATCATGCCGTATATATTTTACACACACACACACACACACATTATACATACATATACATATATACATACATACATACATACATACATACATATATATATACACATACACATACACATACACACACACACACACACGTATATTAGCCTCTGCTCCAAGCTCACTCTTATTATTAGCAAATTAGTAAACTAAATGTGAGATTGTAGTCCATCACAGGAGTGAGCTTGGAGCAGTGGCTACTTTACAACACACACATGGGCCATGGGGAACAAAAGTAGCCACCCTCCAGAAGGAAGGACAGTGTCAGCATGAATTCAGAGATGAGCTACACATGACTACACTCACTCTTTCACATGTCAATGGAGTGTGGTTTAGATTATTTTAATGTGTGAACCCAGCCATGGAGCGAATAAAAAAAAACCAGGCATTTCCATTAGAGTCTAAACCACACAGGTATTTCCGATCAGGGTTCATTTGTACCATCGCATTGTGATAACACAGTAAAATAGACATGTTATTGCAATGCAGAGTAATGCAACAAGCAGCATTGCAGTATTATTAATTCTGAATGACAGCCCAAAGCATCTACAGAGTACAGTGCAGCATAATACACAATTTGCATTTGACAAATAAAGCAGATGCGAATTCTGCACTGGTGCTGTGTTAACGTGTGTTAAGGCCATTCCATTGCATTTTAAAAGTGCACCATGTTACCGCAAAGCAAGCTAGTGTGAAAGGACCTTTAATGAGAAGTGAATCGCCACTTCGCACAGCAAAGCTGAGACCCACAGATTGGCATTAACTCCAAAGTAAGAGAACAGACAGCATAAAATGTCTTACCCGTAAAAATGTCCCCGGATAAACTCCTGTATACGATTCTTACTCTGGGCATGCAGATTCTGAAACTCATGCATAGCAGAAAACTTTTTTATGTTCAGACCATTTGGAGTTACTACATCTGTATTCAGGGAGATAAAAAAAAATAAAAAATAATAGGTTAGAGCCATCATGTTTCCAGGACAATCCTAGTTTATATGTTATTGATCATATTTTACGTGCAGTATTTAAGCTCCAAGAATTCACTTGCTATGATGGCAAATTAATTTCTCCTACCATTAAAATGCAGCTTTAAAAATCAACATAGGTGAATATTGAATATAAAAATAAATAAATACAAAAAAAATAAGTCATACTTAGAAGCAGAATTCAGACAGCCACTTCAGGACACAACTGACATCAATCAGTGAAGGACTGCGCTGGCTATAGACTAAAGGTGCCCATACACCTTACGATTATCGGACGATAATCGTATGCGATCGACTTTTCGTCCGATAATCGTATGTGTGCATTGCAGTGTCCGACCGACAATACTGTACAATCGTACGACTTGACGGTCAAGCATGTTTGAAAACTTTGCTAGATCGTACGATTGTCGTAAGGTTGCTGGCGTTTCCGTCCGTCAAAAGTCGTACGATGTACACTGCGCTTGCGCTAACGAAAATACGGCAAATCAATTACCGCATTTCGTCCAGGTGCTTTTGGTTAATTACGGCTAAATGATTCTTGCGATCATCGGGGCAGGATGGGGCTGCCGTACGAAAATCGTACGACTATTCGATCATCGGACGAAAAGTTTCGTCCGATAATCGTAAGGTGTATGGGCACCTTAACACACTACTTTATTGGCAGTTGTGGAGTTTTCCCATCAGCTTTTCACTACAACGATCTGCCACCACTGTTTCCATAATTTCCCAGTTATGATTGATCAAATGAGTTACCAGAGTTCCATTGCTTCCTTGATACAGAAAATGCTAGTTCCCTGGGTGTCATGCTGAGCCACCAGCTTCATTACTGTTCAAGATAAAGACTAAAAGGTGCCCATACACTGCACGATTCTCGTGCAGTGTATGGAAGGCGTGCGACCATTTCTAATGTACGGTCGCACGACTTTTGTATTTCGAGCATGTTGGAAAACCAGCCGAGAATCGTACGATTTTTGGCTGGTTTGTAACATGATCGAGAGATGACTGCCGAACGGGCCGGTGTGCGCACGTGCACACTGCCCGCTCAGCATTGCAGTCATCAGAAGCCCGCCCCTCAGGGGGGCAGGCTTGCGATGATCGCAAGTATGATCTGTCTGTCCAAGATGGGCAGATCGTACTTTTTTTAATTACTTTACAACCCTTGCAAGACAAAGGTCTTGCGAGGGTTGTAAAGTGTATGGGCACCTTTAGACAAGTACGCAGAAAGTGAAGTCTAATCTCCTTATCAGCATACCTGTTCCAGGTCATTATTATATTAAAAGTGTTTCCATTTTTGCAGTAAACCCTTGTGTGCTCCCATTCCACATGCATCAGCATACTTGTCCCAGGTCATTATATATTTAAAGTGTTTCCATTTTTACAGTAAACCAATATGTGTTCCCATTCAACATGCATACCTAAAAATATTTAAATGTAAAATAGTTCTTAACTAGCTGTTTCTTTGGAGAAGGCCTTTGGGCAGACTGTAAGCTACTCTGAACAATTTCAAAGTGACTCTGCCCCCAAACAAAGTGGAGACAAAGCAATGTTTTTCCTCAATCATATGTCTTCAGATTTTTAACCCTTGGTTAGCACATACAGTATTCAAAACTAGTTTACAACTAATAATGAAATCTGCCAGCACAGTGCAGATAGGGTTAAATTATGCTAAACATTAGAGGTGCAGTGAAATGGAAATTTGAAAACCGAAACAAAATTGTCAGCCGAAACCGAAAATGTTTATTTTTTAAAATAATTATTTCTTTTTTATAAAAACTAAAAAATTTTATTTATTCATTAATTTTTGGAAAAATATTTTTATTTTTACTTTACTTTTAGGGGCTTTGGGGAAATTTTAGGGGACTGAACAGACCCCTGATATTTACCTTTAAAAATAGAAAAAGAGATTGATTACAAAGTCCTCAATCTGTTTTTCTGCAGCCCCTGTTATCAATGAACAGGAATCCTCTGAGTGTTCCTGTTTATTTCTAACAGGAGACCATAGTGTGCATATTAGAACCACAATTATGAATGAACAGTAGGTTATGTACCATGTCCTCAATGGCTCTCCTTTCTGACAGCTGTCACAGGAGGCTGAGCAAGCGGTGCAGGGAGGAGAGACACACACACACACACACACACACACACACACACACACACACACACACACACACACACACAC